AGGGGTATTTTTCCCTGCAAGCAGTCAACTGTGATTGATGACTCTATTAGAGTGACAGCTATGACTCCATGTTTTCTGTATGGCCCTCAAAACCATCCAAAGAGCAATGACTTAAGAAGGTTTTTTAGATCTCAATTCCTCTGATCAAGAGTCAGTATACCTTCTTTGTTCAGCTGCTTGTTATATAGGTCAGAAAAGGCTTGCTTCATGACTTCTCCAGCTTACGAACCTCTGCCTTGACCCATGTTTCTAGAAGAAAGCTAATAAAAGATTAATCTTGTAAAGGAAATTATCTGTATTCTAACTGCATATACTCATACCTAACATAGGGACACAGCTGTAGCTCTGACCAACATGCCTCCTCCATTATGCCCAGTTGTCTCATTCATCCTCTACAGACTTGTTTCAAGCATTTACATAAAACACCAACACACCACAAGGAACTTCCCTATCATTTTTAAGCTAAGTACATCAAGTATTAACAGTTGTTTTGCCCCCAATACTTACCAATGACAAGTTGCACAGGTGGCATCAGGTCCAGCTTATGTTGTCTATTTTGTTAACCAAATTATTTGGAATTCCCCCAATTCCTTGTTTCCGTGGATGCTGTCTAGCTCTTATTTCACTTTGTTCCCCACAGTTCTACTCCTTTACGTCCCCACTATATCTTCTCTTCATTTCACATTTCTCCACATCATCACTAAGCACCTTTTTCATTTGTCCCAACCTGTTTCTGCCTTCCCACATTCTTCAGATCCATCCTCACTTCAGGTCTCTCTTCTCCACAAGCAAGGTCACTATTGTGTTTCCAAGTAACAGCAATTTATTTGTGGGCACAATCCTGTATTTTGTAATATTACACACTAAGCTGTGAGGAGATGGAGAAACAACAGATACTTTGTATGTTTGCTCTGCAAATATATATATATATTTATATCCATACACACTGTGGTATGAAATCCTGGAACACTTGACAGCATACTTAACATGAAGTCTGCTGTTTCAGCCTACAGTTATCCCCCAAACTAGGGATTTAAGCTTACAACCTTTTTTGCTACTCATTCTTGCAGAAACCTTTGGATCCCATTGTTAAGCCCCAGACCCTCTGTATCAGTGCATTCCTCAAATAAACAAACATAATAAGAAAAATAAACACCAGGGTGTCATCACTTCCTAAGCCGACAAATACAATTCAAACTTTGCCCAACATCAGAGTCATGTACCCTCAATACAAAGAGGTCGATCAAAACTAGAAGAAATAGGGTGCTGCACATCAGTCAGAAGACAGGCTGCGACTGTAGTGAGGATATTATTCATATTTGATTCAGGAAGACCTTTGCTTTTTTCAAACCTATCAAAACCAGTTTATATTGTCAAAGAATCCATACCTAGCACATGCCAAACTATAACACATTCCACATACAACTCATTTACTATGTCTACCTCGTAACAGCTCCAGGTTGTTGGCTTTCTGCACAGAGCCCAGCTCCCTCTCCATCACCACCTTCTCTGTAACGATTGGTTACTATTCCTGTTGTCAGCAAGTTTGTTTTCTTAAAGGTAATGAAGTCCTCCCACTGGCTACACAGGCACTGATAACTCAGAGAAGTTGGAAGTATGAATCCAATCACCACTCCAAAATACTTACACCTTAATCATCTTTGGTAAGTCTCACAGGAGCTTTCTTCTGTCCCTCCTTACTATTCACTGCAAAGCGAACACATAATGAAGTACTTCCCTAACACCTGATACAAGCTACTATTAAGAGAGCAGTCTGTTCTACAGAGTTGGAGGAAATGGCTTTTATTGGTGGTACTGATCAGAAGGCATTTACCTTCATTTCCACAAACCAGTCAGGAATCTGCACACTGAATATACTCTTTTAGCAAAGGATGGATTTGCAGGTTTAGCCTCTTGATCAGATCTACTTTCCCGTTTAGAAAAGACCAAATACAGTGTCCAAGTTGTTCTGCTAATACTACTTTCCTGAGAAATTCTTAATTTCTCCAAGTTGAAGTATCTTCTCACACCCCACTCCAAAATCCTCAAGAAGCTGACACACAACTTTGACAACAGATTATACTTCTTACCAGCTGGCAGTAAGGCAAGCAGGGCATTCAGAGAAACAGTGGATTTTCATGAGGTTTTATGGCCAGAATGACATTTCCACTCCAGGCAAACTCCTCTTTTCTATCTTTCCACTTGTGTTACTCCATAAACCTTGGCTACCAGGTCAGATCTGCATACTTGGAACAGACCACTCAGCTGCAGGCCGAAATTCTGTGTTTGCTCCCCTCTACCCTCAGCTCTTCCCAAGCATCATTAACTTTAGGCTTTTATGCAGTATATAAAAAACACAGAGAACCAAAGCACTACATATTCAAGTTCTTTCCTCCAGGAAGAATTAATGATTCTCCAGTAACGATGAACAAGCCCACCTAGTACAACCTTAGGCTTTCACAGCCCTGTGAGAAGATTGCCTGGAGACTCAGCATCCCTGTGTGATGAAGAAATTCCTAGTTCACCTCACTGGAAAAAGATAAAAGGCTGAGAAATTTTCCATCATGAAAACCTAGAACTCAAGAATTCTTGCAACTTTGGTCTGCTCTTAACACTTCTTTCACAAGCAGTAAAGGTTGTTACACAAAGTCTCTGTTTTCCAAAAAACTATGGATATTTATTGAACAGTTAGGAGATCACTGGAAGTTTTCATAATTAAAAAAAACAAAATGTGTTTTTATAAAGGTTGCCTGCAGGACTGAACTAATGTGGCCATAGCAGATAAAACAGTTTCACTAACATTGTAAAAAAAGTAATGACAGATTAAGACATGCTACAAATATCTCCAAGTTAAAAACAGCATCAGTACGAAGACTGTTCTTCTCACTTCTATTGTTTTAGTTTAGTCTTGTTAGAAGCAGGTGGGCACCTCTTGTAGAGAAGTAGTATCTCCAGAAGTCGAAGCAGACCTCTAAGTAGACCTGAAACAAATAAACTGTATTTCAGCAGGTGATATTTAGAGTAATAGTAAGTAGTAAGACGTTCAACATTATATAAAAGTAGACTTGCATAGAAAGACTGCTTTCACTTTTATCAAGATACTACAGATAGTAATTTACTGATCAAAAAGCTGGTTTTGACAAGTTTTCTTCACATAATGTGGCATCATTTTAATGCATTTAAGAATGCATTGTGCAGAAATGCTGATTCAAATTAATAAGCAAAAAGATCACTCTGAAATAACTATTAGTCTTCTGTCCTAAGTAACTTATGTTTAGAACCAGAGATGTAACATTAATAAGGTACCGTAACATTAAAGTCTACACATCATTCTTAGTGCCCCAAGGCTGGCACAAGCAACTTGTACATGTCAGAAAAGCATATAAACCTTGTTAATGTTTTCAGAAATTCATTTAAAGATAGAAACAGGTCCAAAAAGATGCCTGTCTAAATGCATTGCAATTACGTTACAATTATTTTCCAAATACACAGATATGCTCTGTCTTTTCTCAGCTCATTACTGACTCAAACAATTTGCCCTTCTGGGATCAATTGTTTGCTAATAAATAATTGCTTACAGTCCCAAAATGATATTAAGGAGTATTCTTATTAGTTTTCCTTCTACAGCCTAATAAGATTCAAAACTAGCTGATTCCCAAGAGTCTAACCTTAACCTTGCTGTATTTAACAGCCCAGGAAATGATGAACCATCTGCTGCAGAAAATAATGGAGGGCCAAGAGGAAATATTGTTTAATTGTAGATTAACCTCCTCCTTCATTCTGCCCATCTCCACAGGGCAGAATGAAGCATCTACAGAATTAGCAACCATAACTAGCAATGAACAAAAATAACTGAAAGCAGCTCTCACTACTACAAGCAGCAGTGAGTATTCTTTTACCACCTTTTTTAAACCCTCCTAAATGTAATAAGTGCAATCTGATTTTAAAAATAAAAGTGAATTACCAGCTTTGGATTATTTTTTATTACTTGTGGAAGACCCAGAAATAAATCCTGAATTAATTCTGGTTTATTTTTCCACCAGTATCAAGATCAGTGTAAAACAAACATCTCCTAAGTGAGAAACAGTGGATTTATTCTTCTGCAATTTCCACCTCACATCTCCACAGCCATAAAATGGCTGCTCCGAAGCTACATACTTTAAGGGAGGAAGGCAAGGCCTTGAGGTTTTAAACTCAAGAACTTTTATCATATGCCTATTTGTGTAGCCATTTAGATACTAAATAATGGAGACAACCAGATAAAGTGTAAGACGGTTTGAGTAGTAGCAATTAAAAGAAAAAGCAGTTGACAAACCACACTGAATTTGAAAATAAAACCTGCTCCTGTGCTAGCATAATTAAGAGTAGTGCAATTCTGCACCGTCAGGGCAATTTTTCCATGTAACATTCATGCCAAAGCAAGCTCCACAGAAATCTTTTACCCCCATCAATCACTTTGCCCCATTTTGACAGCAACAATGATAGAGAAGTGTGTTATCAGAGGGTTACAGCAAACTCCATTAAAAGGGAACTGAAAAAGCTTCTCCTTGATTTTACACAGCCTTTCTAGAACAATATCTAGATTCACTTCTAACTGTGAGAGCTAGGTGCATGCTCGGTGCGTAAAGATCCCATTAATTCTAAGTTTTAAATCTCCAAACAGAGTGACATTTACTCAAATAAATTATTCTTGAATTCTTCCCTTAATTCTTGCAGCAATGAGCTAGCAATAACTCCACAGCTTCATATAATAGCACCTATTCAAAAAGGATAAGAGTTTGACATTCTTCTCCTGCTAAACAACTAGGCACAATTTTATCCATCAGCCGTCTATCAACCTACGGATATTGAAAGCTTGGGCGAACAAGATAAAAATCAAAACTAACCCTACTGTCAAGCTGCACTATCTCCTGGCATCAATAATGCTATTCATGAATTTAGGAAAATTAATAAATCTTGGGATGAATGCTCAGAAAGTCTCAAATACAGGTGAAGCATACTCACTTTGGTTTTGTTTCTGCATCTGTCACTTGGCGAATATAGATACCATCTTCAGGATGTTCAATGTCATCCATTTCATACATATATGAAGAAGCTATTGCAAGGGTAGTTCCATCATTGCTGAAGGCAAGCGATGCGATGCTTGTGGGATACCGATGGAACTGACACAGACGCTTTTTATTAAAGGGATCCCAAATATTTACAAATCCATCGGAGCCTCCTGAAATTTAAGTTTTTAAGAACGGTTAATTAGAGCTGGGAAAATGGCAACACTGAAAAGACACAGCAAAAATAAAAGACGGGAAAGAAAACTACCTGAATTACTTTGTCAGTAAAAACACAGGGTTATACAGAGTTGCATAATTCAGCAAAGAGCACAAGTATTTCTCAAAATCTCTGCTAAAGCCATTGACTCTCAAAGCATCAAATCTTTTAAAAACCCTGCTCACTGCCAGAAACACAATTTAAATGCTTAGAAAGGAAAGACACAGAGAATCCTGGAATGGTTTGAGTTGGAAGGGACCTTAAAGCTCATCCAGCTCCAACCCCTGCCACGGGCAGGGACCCCTTCCACTGGAGCAGCTTGCTCCAAGCCCCTGTGTCCAACCTGGCCTTGAACACTGCCAGGGATGGGGCAGCCACAGCTTCTCTGGGCACCCTGTGCCAGGGCCTCAGCACCCTCACAGGGAAGATCTCATCTGAGTCTTCCCTCTGTCAGTTATATGAAGTAAAGGCTAATCTATTTAAATCAAAACTAAAGGAACTGATACACGTTCCAAAACACTGATTATCTACTTTACCTGTAGCAAATGTGTTGTGGACATTATGGAAAGAAATTGCATTAACTGGATAAATCTGCTCAATGTTGTTTTCCTTCAAACGGTGACATTTGAATGCATATTTCTTCTTCTGAATTTCTGGACTTGGATCCAAGTATTCCACAGCAACACGACCTTCAATAGAACTTAAAACATAACCCTAAAACCAAATTGGATACGCACATGTTAGTAGTTTACAACTGGAAAAGAAATTGCAATCCAATTTATCTTATACCCTTTATTCAATAGATGAAACAAAAAGCCTTAGATTGTGTAGGGCCAGAAACTGTTACCACAAATCAATGGCATCAGCACCATAGTTTTAAGCTGACAGCAAGACCTTTTAATCACCCTTCAGGTCCAAACACAAAGTCGATTTGAGGGGACGAAAATGTTAAAGAGTTAACAACCCTTTGTATTTGCCCACCTATTCCCCAAGGCCTCAATATCTGAAATATGAGAGATCCTCATGGGACTGTTTCCGAATTATATTACATTCAAATTAGTTCAGAGCTTTATACTAGCAACTAAACACTCAAGTTGAAATAGTATTTTCAGTGAAACTTGATTATAAGTGGTGTTCACTTATCCAGTTCATTACAGTCCTGACTTAAGAGCAACCTGAGATGCTTTTATTATAACTTCTGAGTTAAGCCCATAATAGACCTTTTCAGAAATAGGATTGTAATGATATCTAGCTATAGCAAGGTTCTTTAAAATCCATAATACCATACAATCTGGACGATCAGCTTGTTTCACTATAACTAGAGCTGAAAAGGGACAAAGCATTCATGCCAGTTCAGGAACAAGTAACTAAGTCTCACAATTCCTGTACTATCACTATGTACACAGGAAAAATCCCTTTCCAAATTAGTTTGCCAGAAAAAACTAATCTTCCTTCACTTCAGAAATATCACTGATACACTGCGTTAACCTACACAGTATGATCACCTCAACTGTACAACTCCAGGTAATGTATCCCAGGTTTGTGAGTGCATGACAGACTCGGAGTTAAAGGAAAAAGACATAAAAGACATTCATATAATCTGAACCCTGCTCCTGCCTGCTGAAGAACCTGGGGCTACAACACATAAAGGCTGCTGAGCAAACCAATTCTGTTTTCCTCTCTGCTACTGCAACTTTGTGGAGGTTTTGGGGTTTTTTTAACTGCATGTTGGCATTATGATGCATAAAGTTATTCTTAAAAAGGAGACAAAACTGAGGGGAAAAAAAAACCAAAACCTAATATGCTGGTAAGTCAGTGACAAACACTCCTGAACTGCACTATTACAAAGAGTCAACTTCGAAGCCTCAACACTGTTTATTTTCCCCTCCTACAAAACTTCTGAAGACCAGAATTTGTTTCAAAAGAAAGATGGAGAAGAGTTGACAGACAAACCACTATTTCTACTAAAGAATATTCAGAAGTGTGATTACTGCCATGCTCCCCATACCTGCTTATTAGGAAACGCTCTGATACAGCGGGTCTGGTATTTCAGACTTGATTCTCTTCGCTGCTGAACATAACCCATGTTCCTCAAATCCCACACCAGCACTCTCCGACCTGCAGTGCCCACGATTAGCCTATCTCCAGACACAGAAAGCGTGTAGACCTTTAAAAAACAAATTAAAACATTTAACATTAGGCCTGAATATCCATTGTTCTTCCAACAATATAAAATGGCAGCAATATGGAATAACAAAACAGCTACACAATGAAGTCAATAGCTATAGAATTCCTTTTAGCTTTAATTTATAACTCAGTTTTGGGATACACAATCGTAGTGTGCAGCTGGTTAGTGAGAAGACATTGATGTAGCATTTCAACAGCTCACTCTTAATTCTGGACCCTAGCACATAACTGAGACATCAAGCCCAGTGCAGCCCCAATAACAATATATATAATGATTATATATATAGCAATAATAATATGTATATGCAGTTGTATAATTCTAAAATCCAAGCACATTTGTTCAGTTACCAGCCTCCAGATCTCAGCAATGTCTAAATTATCTTCACATATTGTTTCCCTTCTGCTGGTATTACCCATGATCTAAATGCTACATGTGCACAGAAGTATTTGTTAAATTCAAAAGGGACATCAGTAGCATTCAAGTTTTCCTCCAAAATTATTTCAATTGTTAAATGTATTGGATATTTCAAGGCAAGAGGAAAACAGAAGAAATAAGAGGGAAATGCATGGATATTGCAATTCATTTTTGCTTGGTATGCTCGTTTTGTGTTCCCTGCTATCAGTGCATGATCCTGAAGTTTTCCTACAATACCACATCACACATTTTCTTCTCCGAATTATGTGGTTTTCCTTTTTAAAGAAAATACTTCAAGTTGAACTCTATGTTAATAAAGGGAAATAAATTGCCAAAAAAGCATTTAAAAAAAAAAACTCTCAGTGCTTTGTATACTTTGACAAAAGTGAACCTGAAAGCAGCAATATGCTTTGCATCATTAAAAGAGACCACAACTCAGAATTTCAACTCCACTCCAAAAACTGGCTCAGAGGTTCTAACTTTCATGTGTCAAATTTCTCATTAAAATATTCAGCATATAAATTGTTCTGTTTCCAAATATTACTCGGGGTGCTGTTAATCTGGAAACACATTAAAAAAAGGAAAAGGAAAAAAAAGGTTCAGTCAAAACCTCCGTGCTATCAAATTAATTACAAATTGATGATACACAAACAAGACAGAATCCAGCTGCCTATTGCTGGAGAACTGCTAACAAGAGCAAACTGCAAGAATGAGCTTTGAAAAAGTGAGCTAATGCAGCTCAGTACATAGGAAACAAATCCTGGATATACCTCAGAATCAAAAGTGTAAGAGATCTGGTATCCTGCCAAGAGGATTCAATTTACTTTTGGCATTTGCTCGTACAATTTCACTCAAGCACCTGGTTTCACTTTCTGGTTCTCTGACAAAGCCTGGTAAAGCTGTTTGGTTCAGGTAAGTCTGCACTGAAATATTAGATCAAACAACTTTTCACTTGCTATAAACATTTCTGGAGAGATTATTTTTAAGAAGTTAATTTCTAATAAAATCTAAGCATACGGGTGTCTTTGTGTGTGGGTATATGTACATATAGAGACAGAAAAAGCCTTCCTTTACCAATTAGCACTCACTCAGCATGCATTCTCACTCTAAAATGTGATTACTGAACTTCCACCTTCAGATTGAGGTCTTCAGATTGGAAATGTCTTTAATGTTCACACAAGAGTTAATTAAAATTTCTCATGATGCCAACTGCCATGAAAAGGGCAAGAAAACTTTGATCCAACAGCAGTTACACACTAACAAAACAGTTTTTCAAGTCTCCCCTATTACTGATACAATTATTAATAGTTTGTGATCAATTTTTACACGTTTGCATACATGTATAGCAATAAAGGCATAAGGAACATTAAATATCTTAAGTCTTCTTTACAAACTGATGTCACACCTGTACAGTAAGTATTCTTTTTCCACACACACAAGCATAAATCACATGAAACCATTGTCATGCAGCTGGGTAGGTGTACACATTCATCAAAAGCAGTATTAAAACAATGACATAATGAACCTGGCTGAACCAATAAGCAGCTTGATTCACTGGGGCTGTCCATTATATGATATTCTGTCAGCAATTTATCACAGTTCTTTACATGCTACATCCACCTATAAATCAAAACCTAGAAATAATGCAATTACTTTCTTCTGAACAAAGGTCTTGCCAGAAGTAGATTCAGCTATGCTGTAACAAAAGTAAGAGCTATTTAGATGCAATAGGCAACATAATGATGGCTCGTAATTATGACTTGACAGTATGATGTAACAGGGCAAAATGAGATTTATAAAAGGTATAGGCACAAAATCCTGTGTAAAATCATCCAGCAGCCCAGCCTGTGTTTAGGAGCCTATGAAAAGAACAGAAATTACTGTTCTGTAATTCTTCCAGTGACACCAACATAAGCAGCATAAAGATTAACACACCATATAACCATCAGAAATAGCTTAAGACATCACATTTTCCCTTTTTTCTCTTGATCTCCCATTAGCACAGAGGATTTAAGTATTAGGAAGACGTCTGAATTTACAGACACTAGTACAATGACAGGTAAATTACAATAAAAGCAATTCTGTTCAGTCTTTTAATACAAGTGGAAAAAAAACACCACCCAAAATATTATTTCAGGCAACATAAAAAGCCTCCTACTGTATCTCTACACACATGTCAAAGCAATCAGACCTTGTAACTGCCAGGATCTGCTATATCAAAGTCTCAACATTTAAGGAAATCAATGATGCATATTACAATTAAGACAAATGTTAACATCAATGTCACATGCTGGTTTTGTTCAGTTTTCCTTCCTCTAGTTTGTTTTAAATCATAAGCATTTGGTCTACCACAAGCACTAAGAATTAAGCTACACTCTCCTATTGATGAAAGCGCAAAGCCTCAACCTAAAAAAAAAAAAAAAAAAAAAAAATCACAATATGTTCTGAATATCAATATTTTAAAAGGCAACGTTTTCACAGCTTAAAAAGCATTAAACCTATCTTTCAAATTCAATTCAGTTTATGACAGTGCCCAGTATGGTGATGTTGAATCAGGCACTGGATGTATTATTTAATACAGTATCCAGTACATACCTTTTCCGGTTGCGAGAAGGTTCCTGCGTTACAAGGAGTTCTGGGATCCCACAGTTTAACTGTTTGATCCCAGCTTCCAGTCACCATGACATTCACTTCTGGGCAATACTCAACACACCTGATAGGAGCATCATGGGCACCAACAAGGTTTTCTGTAAGAAAACACAATATATTTTAACTTTACTGGCTTACAAACAGTAAGAATGCGTTGAATAAAGAATAAGAAGGACGCACTACTGCAGTATGAATGAACTATTTTCTGACATTCCCATGGGTGTATTTATATGCCAGGAGTCCTTTAAGGATAATTCAGTCTTTGGAAACATAACTTCTGCAAAGATCAGGATTATTAAATTGGAACTGGTCTTCTGAGATTATGAGAGAAAGCTAAGAATTTTAGGCAGCCACAGAGAGATCTTCAGAGGTATAAAGAAGCGCTCAGTATCAAATGGCATTACCACCTTTAACACAACTTAAGCCTGTATGTATGAACATTATGACAAAAGAAAGGAATCAATATTACATATTAATATTAACACAAACACTTCCACAAAGTCATCTACAGCAGAATTCATTTGACCTTTTCATAACATCACTGTGTGTACAACCTTGTTGAGCCATGGCTATTGGCTGGTTCTAGTGATCACTTTTGTCTCAGGCTGAGATTCACTTTTCTCTTTAACACACATACAAACACACAAAATAAACCAGCTCCATATTTTGCACCAATGAGGCATTGGTGCTGTTGCTTTTGAGCAAGATATAGTGTAAGGCCATGATGTCTGACAAAGCAAAAGCTTTATATACATTCTGCCATACATATGAAAGATCATTCTTAAATACATCTAAACCACAAACCTTTGAAAAATAACATGCTAAGCTGTACTTCAGCTTAGCTAATTCCCACTAATTGAGATACAGTAACCTAAGGCAGAGCAGGACGATCATCAGAAATTCAACTCAAGGCATCCTACAACAGACATCTACCAAACTTCCAGGCAAACTGCCAAATGCTTCCATGCTTTTAGGAGGTTGTTATTAGGGTCACCAGTTATTCTGCTAGATAAAGACACATGTGAGGTGAAACTCAGTCAGCATGAGGAGTACACAGCTATTTCCTTCCCTTCCATTTTCACCTTCAAATAAGTAAATAAATACACATGTAAAATACATCAATGAATGTCCATCATGGTGAAAGTTTAAACTCTCAGTTTGGCAGCAACATATTCACGCCTTTTGTTAAATGTGTTATAGAAGAGCCTTCAGGTAGACTGAAGTTCTGCATCTCAGCAATCGGAAAGGGCTGCACAGCAAAGGGGACTGCTGAGCACTGACACTTTAAATCCAGATTTAAGCATCTAGTACTTAAATATCCCTCATCTAAAAAAGTGGAAACATATTCTGTTAAGTAAATAAATATGAAACTTAGGCCAGTTGTTGAGACCATTGAGAGAACTCAAATCTGCTTACCTTGGTCCGTGTTTAAATCATGCATCTTCAGTTGCTGATCTAATCCTCCACTCCAGGCATGGGTAGGATCCTATAAAGCAAAAAAGAGCTCACCTTCTGACATGCATTAAGTTTCCCTGGCTGTAATACATTTAATCTTCCAGGCTCACAACAAAAGACTTGCTTTCAGGAGTTTGGGGAAGATGGGAATTCAGACACAAGGTTAAGATCTGGCCCAGATCTAAACAGGCAGGATACAGAAGCTCTGCAAAATGTTTAAGTAAAGCACTTTGAGCTATATTTTTATTATTTAAAACTAAAAGGCAGTTAAAGGCTACACCAAATTATTTCCATTGTTGTAAAAGCAAAGCACATAATACTTCTCTTTAAACAACTGCCAGCCTAAACCAGTTCCATCTGACTGAAGCATAATCCTCCTAAAACTAATCTAGAAGCCAGATACCATTTGAGAACATGCATATCGATCCACAGCACGACACTATGTGACAAAATATTCAGTGAAAAAAGGACAAAACTGGGACATTTAAATTGATCCTTAAAACATGCAGTAACACAGCAAGTTACTACAGGACATGTCAGAATACAATGAAAAAAAAAAAAAGCTAGTTGAAACCTTCCAGTACACATGTGACACCAAAAAGGCAAAACAAAAAGTGGCACTAATAAACTTGAAGCGTATTTCAAATCCAGTGCATTAAAAATGCAGTAATCGGGTATCTGGTATTTGGGAACATGATGCCATGCTCCCAAACAACCAGTATGAGAAGGTGAAAGAGAAGACTAATGGGCTATGGGCACTTATTGGGAATAATGATTTCCAGCTATACACCACCAGTATGACTCTTCGTAAGAAGCATGCACACAATTCACAAGAGCACTGCAGAAACAGCACAAAGCAGCTCAAAATACTTTTGCCTACCACTTCTACCAGGAGTAAATTACTTGGGTGCCTGTACCCTTCACAGGGAATATCTGTATTTAGGACTAGAACAACATTCATTAAAGAAGAATGGGCAGAAGGTTTTTTTTAAATAAAGAAACAAAACTAGATTTTAGGTGGTATTTCACTATCCCTTTAATTTCAGGCACTGACAATTTCTCAAGTACCTTGGCCACTATAGGTCCATAAAATAATAGTAAATAAAAATCCACCTCCCACACTTACATAAAAAGCACAGTCCAGGACAGCTCCTGTATGCTGATATTTGAGTCTCATGGTGTTGGCAGGAACATCATAGAGCCGGACAGTTGTGTCCCAGGATGAAACAAGCAGAAACTGTGATGTGTTTGGACTAAACTTCACTGATGAAATACCATCATCTGGAGTTTGATTTAGTTTGAACTCGTTTGATCCTGTCATCTGAAGACAATAATGAACAAATACAGTTTTAGTAATAACAAGAACATAATCTAGCAAGTTAGCTTCCTAACTGAGCCATCTTAGAGAGAACTTAGAGCTGAAAAGTTTACCAGCTTTTACACAGAAAAGTTCACAATACCCAGAATTCTGACACACTCAAAAATTCAAGACGCTCATCCCTGTCCAAAACCTCAATAAATTCCTCCTCGCACACTTTTCAAATTTAAATATCAACTATAACGTGGAACAATAATACACTTTTTGTACTGTTATCTCTAAGCTTATATATTTTTACTTACAAATGTATTTTTCCCCACTCTGTGTGTGGCTGTATTTTTATAAGTAAATATCAGTTACTGTAAGTATCAAGAAGTTAACAAAAAAAAAAAGAAAAACAACAAAAACAAACCAAAAGCCACACATGCAGGTAAAAAGGAATGAATCCAATCTGAAAACAAAAAAAAAGAAGTTGATTTGTTCCTGATCTGTTATAACCATCGGACTCGCAAAAAAATGGAACTGGATCATCTTTTAATAGGTCTGGGCTTTCTGCAATTTCCCTATCCTTTGGCTTCCATAAGTGTTGTAAAATATTTGCAATGAAACAGCTCTAAGATTTTTTTTTCCTCTAAAAAAAAAAAAGGAGATCAGATAAGAAAGGAACAATTGAATGCCAACTCAATGATTGTATGACTCACTTCAGAGGACTGCTTAACTTCTGTATGTAAAAATTCAAAAGAAAGCAGAGGCTAAAACCAGCAAATTTCAGTTGGGAAAGCAGTGCAAACCTTACAGACCCTCTGAAAGAAAGAGCTGTACCTGACATATACAGTGCCAAAAGCACCAGAACTTTTTAAGGCTTCAGAAAGTCTTAAAAGCACATTTCCTTTTAGCTAAAACAAAAAGAGAAGTAAATTGGCTCAGATTTTCGGTAACACTGTCACTCCTGAATCTGTACATGTAACTGCAGAGGCAAGATTAGATCTCTGAGAATAAGTCAAGAGAGAAAGAACAGATGAACTAGGAGAAAGCTCAAGCTGAGTGCAGTTTTTCTAATTCATCACTTGTCAGTAACTAAGCAATCAAGTTGTATAATAATGTGAGCACTACACATTCTTACACCTGAGAAAATCCTTAAGTGGGAACTTTAGGACATGTTTTCTTAGATATCCTTCAGAGAAACAAAACCACTATGTAAACACGAAGTTTTTTTCTACTATTTAAACATGAACTCTTAAGACTAGGAAATAAAATCATCTTTCTTAACCCCTTTTCAGCTCTGTTTTGGGATACCTGGGCAAAAAACAGGCTTGAGAATTTGCCACGCATTTCTATATGAATACTACAGAGAATTCAGCTGCACCTTCATCAACAGCGAAGTGTACCACAGTGAGTGTTTCATAGGGATGTACAACACCACAACCTCCAAAGGAATTCAGAACAACTACAAGGCATGCTAACTGCCTTGTCTCCTTGTGGCAGAAAGCTAAAATGACAAAGAGGAGTACAACAGCAAAGAACCACCTTAAAAGCAATCAACAAACAGCACTCCAGGAGGTAAAGTTACTTATGTCAGAAACCTGGAAGAGCCTCACAAAGGTAATTTTAATACAGGAAAAAAAAGAATATAAATATCAGGATGTAAGCGCATCCTAGCTTTTACATGTGTTACCAACAAAAGAGAGAAAATATTAAACAACGAAGTCTGCACAGTTCCACAAATGCAACCGCCTCACAGTCAGGACTGCTGAACATTAACTGCTCAGGCCCACCTCAAACAACAAAGTCCTGTTAAAATGTTCAAGCACCACAAGAGATAACTCATTTAAAAAACACATTACAAGGAAGAAACTGCTAAAACTGTGATGCTGACTTAACTACGGGATGCACTTTTACAATTCCATCATAGAATCACAAAACGGTTTGGACTGGAAAGGACCTTAAGATCATCCAGTTCAAGCCCCCTGCCATGGGCAGGGACACCTCACAGTAAACCCTGTCACCCAAGGCTCTGTTCAACCTGGCCTTGAACACTGACAGGGATGGAGCATTCACAACTTCTTTGGGCAACCCATTCCAGTGCCTCACCACCCTCACAGTAAAGAACTTCTTTGTTTCTAACCTGAACCCATTACCCCTTGTCCTATCACTACAGTCATTCCCAAAAGCTCACTTTTTACCAACACAGATGAAATCGGTGCTGTTATAACTCTTCAACATACACCCAGCCTCCCCACAGTCAGCTAAGCGGTGAGCCTCTCGAACAAAGCAGGCCGCCCTGCTGAAAGCCTCAGGGCGAGCAGCCGGTACTCTGACGAAGAAGAAACCATTAAAAGTACCGTCTTCATCCTGCAAGGGGTTCCTCTCGCCGCTCCACGCACCGTCAAGGAAAACCTCTCTCACTGCAGCCGCCGTGGACTTCGGAAGCACGGAGGAGTCAGAAACACAGCGGCTCTCGCACTCCGGTCCCGGAGAACCACGCCAGGATGCGGGAGATGCTACGGCGGGAGGGAAGAGAGTCAGAGGAGAGCCCAGGAACCGAGGGAGGGCCGAGGACAGCCGCGGGAAGGCCGCAGCACCCGGGGCGGCTGAGGGCAGGCAGCAGCCGTCCCTAGGCCGAGGAGCCCGCTCCGCCTATCCCCGAACGGAGGTCTCCGCACCCCGCCCGCCGCGGTCAGAGGCTGAGGGTCCCGGTCCCGGTCCCGGTCCCGGTCCCGGTCCCGGTCCCGGTCCCGGTCCCGGTCCCGGTCCCGGTCCCGGTCCCGGTCCCGGTCCCGGTGGGGAGCGCGGCCTCACCTCAGCGTTCCGCCCGGGCCGCGCGCCTCCGGCCTACCCACCAACCGCCGCCGCTGCCCACTGCGCACGCGCGCTCCTTCCCACCTCGCGATTGGCCCGTTTGAAAGGGAGGACCTAGACGTCCCTGCGTACCTCGCGCGCCGCAGCGCCCAGGGCGGAGGGCCGCCGGGCACGCTGGGAGTTGTAGTCCGATGGCACCCGCAGAGTGGATGCGTGCCTCCCCCTTCGCTCCGGCTATTAGCAGAGTTTGTTAATTGGGGTCCGCGGCGGGATTGTCTTTGTGGACCTCTCTGGGCAGCCACACGGGTGTCCCCCTTCGGGGGCAACGACAGCTTTGATTGCGTTACAAATCGAACCCGAAATACGAATTATTCCCCCTAAAAAAGGGCCCGAAAGGCGGAGCGACAGCACGGGAGCCGACGCTCACCCCCCGGGTCTGCGTTACTGCGGCTGACCTCACCCCGTCCTGACCGGGCCGGGTGAAACACCGGCTGGGAGGAGCCGGGAGAGCCGCCTCCTTCCCGCGCACTGATTTATCCCTTCGGATCTGTTATTTCTCCTGGTTTTCCCATTGCCCCTCGAGGCACCCCCTTTGCTGCTGTTAGAAACATCCCCACGTTCGGTACCGGCGGCACCGCGGGGCCCGTGCCCGCGGTTTGGATCCCGCTTCTTGCGGGATTCACTTTTTATTCCACGAACGACGGACTCTGTCTCCGTGGGGATTCACCCGTGGGTGCCCCGGGGCGGGCGGGGAGCAGAGCCGGGAAGCACCGGGGTCAGTCACCGGGAGCTCCGAGCCCGCTGCTCCCACCGCTGCTTGTAGCCAAATACTCCTCAAAACTGTTAGAAACGGCTCCCGTTAACGAAACCGTTTGGGAAAGGCCCTGATCCTTCCAGTCAAGCACAGGGCACTGAGCCCCACCAGCCCCGGGGTGGGTACGGACAGGCCCGCCTGGGATTCCCTGCAGGGAGCGGAATAACGAGCAGGGGGCAGGGAAAACCAACCAGACCATCGACATTACACGTCGGTTTCGCTCTCCTGCGCATCCCCTTCCAACCGTGCCCGGCCGGCTGCGGTGCTCCCCCGGGTCCCGGTGCTGCCCGGCGGGAGCGTGCGATCGCGCTGGCGAGTTTACAAACGAGGCTTAAAACGGTTTATTTTTTTTTCTTTTTTTTTCTGTTTCTTTCTTTAAAAATATTTACAGATCTGAAATAACGCTTTTTTAATTAATTTTGTTCGGTTTCAAGTGGCAGGATCGCGGGAAGGGCACGGGGGTGCCCCCGGTCACCCGGGCTCTCCGTTTGCCCAGTCCCTCCCGTTAGTTTCGTTCCTCTGTCCCCGCCGCGGAGGTAAACAGAGACCCCGCACGGAGCCTCCGCGGCGGCCCCGGTCCCGGTCTCGGCCCCGGTCCCGGTCTCGGCCCCAATCCCGGCCCCGAAGGGGCGGCCGCGGAGAAGAGAGCTCTGTGGGTCAGTAGTCGATCTTGTTGTAGAGGTTGTAGAGCGGTAAGGCCGAGAGGTTGCTGCCGGGGTAGTAAAGAGGCGCAGGGAAAGCGATGGACCGGGGCACCGGCACTCGGAGGAGGGAATTGTCCCTGAACACCAGAGGCATCCCCACCAGAGTCTGTGCCGAGGCATGGGCCATATTGGCCGCCTCCAGCTCGGCCGAAAGCTGCCGTTTCCACTTGTTCCTGCGGTTCTGGAACCAGGTCTTCACCTGGGTCTCGGTGAGCTGCAGGCTGGAGGCCAGGCAGGCCCGCTCCGAGCTGCTCAGATAGCGCTTCATGTCGAAGGTGGACTCAAGCTGATAGACCTGGCTGCGACTGAACACCGTGCGCGTCTTCTTCTTGGCAGCACCGGCCTGCCGGTCCCCGCCGTCGCGCTGCCGGTCCCCGCAGGAAGGTGAGGCGGGGCCCAGTGGCTTCTCCTTCTCCTCCTTACAGTCCTGCTGGGGGGGCGAGTGGAAGGGCCCCCGCTCCCCGCTGCCAGCCGCCGTTGCTCCGCTCCCTTTGGTGCTGCCTGCAACAGAGCGACAGCACGGAGGTCGCACCGGTTCCGGCACCACCCCCGACGCCAGAGCCCCCCGTTCCAGCTGGGGGAAAGGCTGAGGTGAGCCCCTGGCCAGGCACCCGCCGCCTCCGTTACCGGGGAAAGCCACCACAGAGGCCGGAGGAAGCCATCCCCGTCCTTCCATCGAATGGATGGATGGACAGATGGACAGGTGGGTGTGCCCGCCCC